GTCAGCCGCGCTGCAGGCGAGCTGCTGACAGCCGGCCGCCGCCACCAACCGGCGCGACACCACGGCTGTTCATGCATACAAGCGTTTCGCAAAGCGCTTCCACAAGCAGCGTTATCTGCCGTCACAGCCACGGTATGCACTAAGCACGCATTTGGCCGCCAGCAGGCCAGTGCAGGTGACGAGACCGTTCGGCCAAGACATCGGCAAGGTGCACCTCAAATAGCTATCGCATGTATGGTGCAAAAGCACAGGCTTCGGTCGCGCCATGTCAGAGGCAATGGATATCGATATGGGGAATATCAAATTAAGACTGACGTCCACGCCCTCCCAAACACGTGCTTGAGGCACGAAAGTAGCGTTCCAAGGCAGAGCGCGGTCATGTCCACTCCCAACGAGCTTATGATTTCAGGTTTATGGCAATGCTGCCAGTTTATCCTTATTCTAGTTTGCTGTCTTGGTCTGGAGGCATGTCGCAATTTCGCTTTCTTGGAACAAAATGCTGGAATCAACGTTGTGGCAAAATATAAATTACTGAATGTCGAAAACTGACCCGCGCAGTGTGCTCTCACCACATGAAGCAAAGCGGAGATTTTCCTTCGCTTCTAAACACCTCAAGCTTCAGCGTTAAAGTCAGCCCAGAGCGAGCCAGCACACCTAAACAGAACGCACGTCCGGCACAGCGTCTACGTTGCGTCTCGAAAAATTCATGCCGTCCAGTTCTGGCAAACGGCCACTGCGAGCCGGTCGGAACATAATCATCGTGACGCCACGTGGACTCTATGCCGTCCAGACTGATCGAAGGCACCAAAAATCACTTGTGCCCCAGCCGTGCGTCATGACACCGCCTGTTGCGTTCAATCGGACAGTTCCACCATCGTCTTCGAGTCAGACAGCGCCGGCGGCTAGGAAACGGCACCGCCGCTGTCGCTGCGTCACGACGGCCCCGAGACACTGGCCACAGGAGACACCCAAGCCCCACCCACTTACAATGATCTGGTGCGACACTCCGCGGAGCGCCTCCCGACGGTGCTGTTCAGCACGGTCCATACGTGGGCACGGTCAGCGACAGAGCGAGAGCCGTCCTGTCAGGTATGCGACGGACTCACCGCCGGCTGTTTTAGTGAGACGCCAGCCCTCCTGTCAGGTATGCGACGGACTCACCGCCGGCTGTTTTAGTGAGACGCCAGCCCTCCTGTCAGGTATGCGACGGACTCGCCGCCGGCTATTTTAGTGGGGCGCCAGCCCTCCTGTCAGGTATGCGACGGACTCGCCGCCGGCTGTTTTAGTGAGACGCCAGCCCTGCTGTCAGGTATGTGTCGGACTCACCGCCGGCTGTTTTAGTGAGGCGCCAGCCCTCCTGTCAGGTATGCGTCGGACACACCGCCGGCTGTTTTAGTGAGACGCCAGCCCTGCTGCCAGGTATGCGTCGGACTCGCCGCCGGCTGGTTTAGTGAGACGCCAGCCCTCCTGTCAGGTATGCGTCGGACCCGCTGCCAGCTGTTTTAGTAAGAAGCCAGCCCTCCTGTCAGGTATGCGTCGGACTCACCGCCGGCTGTTTTAGTGAGACGCCAGCCCTCCTGTCAGGTATGCGTCGGCCCCGCTGCCAGCTGTTTTAGTAAGAAGCCAGCCCTCCTGTCAGGTATGCGTCGGACTCGCCGCCGGCTGTTTTAGTGAGACGCCAACCCTGCTGTCAGGTATGCGAAGGACTCACCGTCGGCTGTTTTAGTGAGACGCCAGCCCTCCTGTCAGGTATCAGACGGACTCGCCGCCGGCTGTTTAAGTGAGACGACAGCCCTGCTGTCAGGTATGCGTCGGACTCGCCGCCGGCTGTTTTAGTGAGACGCCAGCCCTGCTGTCAGGTATGCGTCGGACCCGCTGCCAGCTGTTTCAGTAAGACGCTGACTGGCATGGGACTGGTGGCTGTGCCGGTCGACTGCTTATGAGGAGGTACACGTGGGCGCCCCCCCCCCCTCCCCCTCCCCCCAACTTTGTCGGTCTACATCGCAGGGCTGAACAGTCCCCCACTGGTGGGACGAATCTGACAAGTTCCACGTTGCTGGTTGCTGCTTGGAAGCTCAGCAACATTTGGTGTTCTCAATCTTCAACATGGTTGATTAGACTCGGTTCAAAGTGGAGTTGCTGACCAAATGAGCACTAATCCAGCTGGAAAACACTAAATTAGGCAATGTGCGATCGACCAGGGAATGGAGACTAAGCGTCAATTTGGCAGCAAGTCTCTGCTGGGTCTCATGAGAACTCGTCCTCTGATCTGGCATACACGTCGGCGCTGTTGCCAGGGTGCTAATGCTTTGGGCCTGTTTCAGCTCTCGTGGCGCACAACATATCACCTCCTTGTTGGCAACGCATTATCATATCACTTCGGTACGAGGAGGAAACGAGGAGACATTTCAAAATCGGTCGTGTTTCTGACTTCTTAAATCACCGTCATGTTCTCATCTGCTGTAACTTATTTTGCCAGCTTTTTGTACCTACCACTTACAACTGGCATCGAGGCAAAACAGCCACATCCCGTTCCGAATACGCCAAATGGGACCCACGCAGACCTGTTGTTCAAAGGCATGCAGGGAAGACCCGCGTCCTACTTGTGCTCTGCGCGATATGCTCCAGAAATATAAGTCCAGTTGCTGCTGTCGTTGCACGCTCCTTGAAAGGAGCACCGTCACACGTCTGATGACATCAAAAGTGACAATTCATATTCCTTAGCAGCCAGCGGGATTTATTTACCATTCGCCACCCTTATGTGAGGTTATTTTCCGCTGCCGGGCACTGCCCTGACCGCTATAGCGTCATGATCTACCGCACTCATAACTGCAGGAGAAAGCGAAAACACGTCTCGAACGAATCTCAGTGTCAGTCCTCACACTCACTTAGACCTCCACACACATCCCAGTCACGAAGCCGGGGAAGGCGCTATTGAATTATGGTAACGATGTTCTGCTGCAGTTCAACGAACGTATCTGCATTTTCTGGGGATAACAGCGGTCGATTACGGGAAAGCAAATGCCCAGCGATCATTCTAACCCTTCCTTTTCCACAATACACATGCAATTAGGGAATACCGCAGCCGTTTTTACACCTTCGTGCCGACATCGGTCTAACCACCAATGCTTTGGGACCCTATGTAGCTGATGACTGGGATTTGCAGAATTAGAATTGATTGAAAGATTCGAATCTTCCGAACATCCAAGACCATGGTCCGTACCCTAAAAAAACAGCACCGAGTCGTGAAAGCCACCATTTAAATATGTACACAATTTCACCAGGAAATCAAATGCAACAAGCAAAGGCAAGGTCTGCATGAGACCCAGCAACTCGTCCTTTGACAATTTTATATCAGATCAATGGAGCCTCACGTACGGCAGCCGGCCTGAAACAGCCAGATGAACGCTGGGCACAAAGGACAAACAAAGGACAAGGGACAAGTGCATACGACCACCGCTGGAAGGCCATTCGGCACCACTTTCTGTGGATGTGAGGCGCTCCGCGTAACAAACACGCGCCGTTATTCTCACCACGTGCATGCGTCGCCGCAGCCACCCGTAGCCCCAATGGCCACATGACGTTACGTACGCGCCGCTTCACATGACGTCACGGCGGCGGCGGCGGCACGGCTGGTGCCACCGCCAGCATCGCCGCACGCAGGGACTGGGTCCCGGCGAGTGGCCTGCCCCCATCCGTCGGTCGTGCCTATGCGCGGCTGATGCCACAGCCAGCACGCAGGGACCAGGTCCCGGCGAGTGGCCCGCCCCATCCGTCGGTCGTGCCTGTGCGCGGCTGATGCCACAGCCAGCACGCAGGGACCAGGTCCCGGCGAGTGGCCCGCCCCATCCGTCGGTCGTGCCTGTGCGCGGCTGATGCCACCGCCAGCATCGCCGCACGCAAGGACCAGGTCCCGGCGAGTGGCCTGCCCCATCCGTCGGTCGCGCACTGTGCACGGCGAGGGGGCCGCGGTACGCGAGCTAGCCACTGCACGGTAACGCTTTCATTGTTGGTGCATTCAAACTTGCCGGATAATATCTCGCACTGTTGCCCAGCGCCATTATACTACGGCTGATATCCGGGAAGTAATAGGTAAGCCTCCCCGATCTAACTGAACCGGGACATGTCTATGGACAGACACGCGCTAACCGTTTCAGCTTTTCATGTTTGCTTCCATCTCGTGGAAATAAGCGTGTGCATACGTGGTTTGTGGTCAGACCACTGCAGTCCGACTAACGCCACACCACATCAGTTACCAACGCACGCAACGCACAGCAGCATCTCTGCGACAGATTAGCACGTTCCAGCCAGGTGCAGCGGTTCTGTTTTCCAGCACGCTGCACTGGTGCTGCCCCCCCCCCCCCCCTCCGGCGACGGCGGGCCGACGGAGCAGGCCGCCGTCTCGCCACCGATGACAATCGGTAAGTGGGCCACTGGCGCGGACCGATTATAGACGCCGGCGGCTCTGCTAGAGCACGCTGACGGCCCGCATCGGCGGCGACGGCAGGGCTCGGGCAATCGGCACGGCACGGTGCCCGCCAAAACGCCCGCGGAGCCAGGGACACCTCGCGGCGAGATGAGGCAGGCAGCGCGTCAGTGACGTACTGATGGGGCTGCTGACGGCACGTGATACTCAAATGTTGAGCCTTCTCCTTGCCAGCTGCCTTGTAACATTGTTCCTTGTCGGCTTCCTTGTAACAATGGCAGAATAGCGTTCAGCAGTGGCAGTGACGGCTCCTTTACGTCCTGGTTTCTTACGGCGCAGCCGCGTGGCCTCGCGCGTCGGGTGTCCCCGCGTCGAGTCTCTCCTCCCCTCCGCCTCCAGAACCCGGCTCAATGATGAGACAACTTTCGCGGCTGTATCAAGCACCGGTCTCCCCTTAGCACACTGCGCCAGCGTCACTGGCCGCCCCGCTTTCACCTATACGGACACGTCGCGAGCGGCTGGCCGCGGAACCACCGCCTGTCGCCGGGGTACCAGCGCCTGTCGCCGCTCTCACCTGAGCCGAGCCGATTGGCCGGGTTCCGCTTGAACAGCACGCGCAGCAGGCTCTGCGCCTCTGGCGACAGGAACTGCGGCATGCCCAGCTTGGCCTTCAGGATCTGCGTCATCGTCTCGTGCCGGTTGCTGCCGTGGAACGGCAGACTGCCTGTGAGCATCTCGTACTGGAACAGAGCGCGGTGTGGCGCGTCAGCTAACATCGGTGCCCGGTGGCAGCCGTCCCGGGCCGGCAACGGCTCCGCACGCGTCACCAGGTGGTGGTCGCTGCTCCGTGACACCTCTGCCGCCGCAGGCGCGGTGCAGCACACAGCCGCGGGCCGGCCGCAGTGGCCTGTGGGGTGGGAGGCATGGGCGCCACCAGCGCTCGGAGCGCTGATATGTGCCTGGCCCGAGGGACAACCAAATCAGGGCGCAAAACAGAGCGGTGGGACAGCCACCGACACACGGCACGGGACCGGTCACCGACACATGGGCCGGCACGGGACCGGTCACCGACACATGGGCCGGCACGGGACTGGTCACCGACACATGGGCCGGCACGGGACCGGTCACCGACACATGGGCCGCCACGGGACTGGTCACCGACACATGGGCCGCCACGGGACCGGTCACCGAACATGGGCCGGCACGGGACCGGTCACCGACACATGGGCCGGCACGGGACCGGTCACCGACACATGGGCCGGCACGGGACGGTCACCGACACATGGGCCGGCACGGGACCGGTCACCGACACATGGGCCGGCACGGGACCGGTCACCGACACATGGGCCGGCACGGGACCGGTCACCGAACATGGGCCGGCACGGGAGGCACGGGGACCGACACATGGGCCGGCACGGGACGGTCACCGACACATGGGCCGCACGGGACCGGTCACCGAACATGGGCCGGCACGGGACCGGTCATCGACACATGGGCCGGCACGGGACCGGTCACCGTAACATGGGCCGGCACGGGACCGGTCATCGACACATGGGCCGGCCACGGGACCGGTCATCGACACATGGGCCGGCACGGGACCGGTCACCGAACATGGGCCGCACGG